CTTGCGCAGGGACCGTGCTAATCTTCTTTGTATCGTTCCAATTTTAACGGATGTCCCGAAGGACTCCGACCGGGGCAGTGCCCCGCTGTACTGCCGAAGGCCAAATTGCCCTCCTCCAAMCCCGCACTGCCTCCCCAGGCAGTCCAAAATATGTGGTCGTACCCGCCAGGCCCCATCATCTGGACCAGACACAGGCCCGTACTCGAACAGTTCGTGGGTGTACCCGCTAAGCTAGGCCTTTGGGTATTAATTATACCCACGGTACCACGTCCCAAGGCGACASGGGACGTGATAAAAAATTAGAAAGGAAGTATATAWAAWAAAAAAAAMCTACAACTTCAKCGCAGTYACGAAAGCAGTTTGCAGTTGCACTTCAAGCAATCCCATGAATTCTACACATGGCCCCACGGATCGGGCCCGTCCCGATAGGGGTACATGCAACACACTCAGCCGACTATAGAAAGTTGTACAGATAGGGGTTATACCAGGGTATATAGAGGGAAAACAAAAACTACCTTTCAATTYCCTGCCTCCAGAACTCCTACTGAGTCTCGGCAGAGCTCCCGCAATCAGTGGGGTAACCACCCACGTAGGCCTTGGCGCGGATTACGGGTTGCAATCCCGCCTGCCGCCTTCCTCTCATAACTAACAGACTAGCCTTAGAGTAAGGAGGGCAGAAAAAGAGTCATTAAGTCTCTCAGATACAAGAGAGGTGCACTCAGACTCGCAGCAGAGGGCCTTGATACCTTCGCTCGCCTGAGGGCCCCGCAATGGTGGCCAAACTGCACAGTAGCAACTCGTCAACTKACGTCAACCTCCARCCGTTGACTCTCTGCCGGCCCTTCAGTTTGCAGCAATCGACCCTTGGCARCGAGCTCCGCTATCCCGCAAGGCTTCAAAGTCCGAACTGCCTCGGCCGCAACTCAAGGTACAGCCCGTGGGTACAAAKCACACCCTTTCCCTTCCTTGTTACTCTTATCTCGGCACCCTTTCTCARCTCCTTTTCAAGTACGCAATAAAACTGCAACTTCCGTTGAAACGCGGGGGATACACGGTGATACTGATCCCTTCATCTGATCGCAACTGCATTGTGCGCAACCTCCAATCGTCGTGGCAATAGGTCTACTAACTGACAACCAGATCCAATAATACAGACCAGCCTGCAAATGACCCTAGCCGCTGGCTCGGCCAAGTTTACCCAGGACTTAGGCAAAGAGGAATCACAACCGGGCCTGACAGGGCCGAGCGGAAGGGGGACAGAGACGGTGTGCTGAGGTCCAACCAGGAATAACACCCTACTGAAGGCCTGTGGCACCTGACCCTGAGATCGAGATAGCGGTAGGTTGTCAGTTGCACYAGTCTGAGACGATCAGCAACCATGACYGCAGGCACAACAGCCGACAGCGACAATCTCGCTTTTGTCCTCCTTCCTGTTCTTTCATTCCCTCCTCATGGCCTGACTTGCCCTGTTGCCAAACCCATTCCCCCGCTTCTTCGACTGCCAGTACGGGGACAAACAGTCTCGTGTTGACTGTGGGGACTTACACTGCCCTTTAACCCGAGGCCCCCCCCTCTGCAGGTGGATGCGCTACTGTACCTTGTCCTTTAGCGTATCCGGCCTGACACTCCGACGAGGTCCTTCCCTTTTTGGCACGCTCGCAGGCTGTTAGTGAAGGTGACTGCAGTAGGTGGGCTAAGGAAAGTCTCRGCACGAGTTTGAAGCATAGRGCTGTTCGGTGTCAAAGTTCGTCACTTGCGAGAGAGGCAGAGGGGGCTACTTCCATCAAYGGGAAGAGTAAAATTGGGACGAATCTTCTGCAGAATCCCCGTAAAGTTCACTCCAACTCTCCTCGTAACACTTAGCTACTCTCCTGGGYGCAGCCCATACCCGTTCGTACCTACAATCTACCTACTAATATCCAAATCCACTAACATCTTTGAATTCGCAGGGCCGGAAAACCCCTGTTTCGTGCCTCGCCTCATTCGATTCCCTGCAGATCCGAGCAGAGTTCTCTCTCTTCGCGTTCTTCCCACCATGGCCTTCGCGCAACTCTGTTCTATTCTAACTCCCCATCTACTAACCTATGGGCGAATCTAATCCCACCATCTAACTCGCACTGCCAAAAAAACTCCGTCCA